TCCTACATTGGCAGGCAGGTTCTTTATCACTAGTGACACCTGGGAAGCCCCCTTCCCATCACCACTTCACTCCAAAAAACAAGCCCCTACCAGTTCTTCCCATATCAAAAACTGTAGTTCCATCAACCCAAATACCCTCAAACAAAAAACCTAGGAGCCATCCTCAATACCTCTCTTTCTCTTATGCTCCATAACCAAGCTATTCCAAGCCTGACAGTTCTACATTAAAAAACATATGAAACACATCCATTTCTCTCCACCTTTGTTGTCACTCCCAAATCCGAGTCACCATCACCTTTTGCCAGAACTAAATCCAGAGGCCCATCTGGCCACTCTTCCTTCATTCATGCCTCACTCCAGTTCTCTCTCAACATCAGCCAGGGTAAAGTGTACATCAGATCTTGTCACTTGCTAGTTTAAAATCCTTAAATGTCCATTTTTCGAATCAATTACCAGCACCTGCAAGACTCCTGCAACATAGTCTGGCCCCTGCCTGACACTGCATCTCACTCCAGTCCCATTCCTTCCCTTGCTCAGTATGCACCAGCCACACTGGTCTCCTTTCAGCTTTTTTGTTTTAATATATTATTTTTTTAATCTTCTGGCCGTGCTGCTTGGTATGTGAGCTCTCAGTTCCCCAACCAGAGATTGCACTCATGATCCCTGCACTGGCAGAGCAGTCTTAACGACTAGACCGCCAGAAATCCCTCCCTTCAATTGTGCAAACACTCCACACTTTCCTATCTCCAAGTCTTTACATTCTCTTGCCATTTCTCCATCAAGAAATGCTCTTCCACGACCTACACATCTATGGTTCCATCTCCTCCTTCAGACTCCAGCTCACAAACATCAAACCTTCGAGAAACCTTTCACTGATCAGCCTTTCTAAAGTAACCTCTGCCTGGTTAGTCTATTCCATCATCTTATTTATTTTCTTCATAGCATTTATAACAATCTGATGTAACTGTTTACTTATGTTTCCCTGTATTTTATTTTTCTCCTTCTCCAATCTCTATCTAGAATGTAAGGTTCTTAAGGGCAAGATTCATGTATGTCTTTCACCACTGTCTTTGGTACTCAATACTTTACCTGGAATGTAATTAGCTTCAATATCAGACCAGTCAATCCTAAGGGAAATCAACCCTGAGTGTTCATTGGAAGGACTGATGCTGAGGCTGAAGTGCCAATACTTTGGCCACCTGATGCAAAGAATCTACTCACTGGAAAAGACCCTGATGCTGGGAATGATTGAGGACAGAAGGGGGCAACAGAGAATGAGATGGCTGGATTGGCATCACTGACTCAGTGGACATGAGTTTGACCAAACTCCGGGAAGATAGTGAAGGACAAGGAAACCTGGCATGCTGCAGTCCATGGGGTCACAAAGAGTCAGACACAACTGAGCAACTGAAGAATATGTGTTTAAAGTATGGGTGCATGAATAGAAAAATTAATAGACCCTAGAAATCATCTTACTCAATTCCCTGTGTGCTGAGTACTCTCTCGGCATACTGTTTCCATAGTGGATCTGGCTCAGTAGTCTACATGGGAGAAGATTTTCTCCCAAAGACACAGAGATGCCCTCACCTTCCTACAGAACAGGCACACTTTTCACTGCCTTCATCATAAAATTCAAATGCTCTCCACACCTATGTGCACAACTTCATCTTCCATCACTTCCTTCCCCTGTGCTAAGGTCATGGCACACTCAACTTCACACCATTATACGAAAATACCACTCATGCTCATGACGTTGCCTCTCTTTGGAATGCTAAACATCGTCAGCTTCCCTCTATGAAGTTTTTCCTGGTAGCCAGAGGCTATACTCTGTACTGTCACAGGCCCTCATGCATCCCTCCACCACATTTATTCTTGTTGTTTAGTCGCTAAGTCATGTTCAACCCTGCGGCCCCACAGACTGTAGCCCGCCAGGCTCCTCTGTCAATGGGATTTCCCAGGCAAAAATATATGACAATTCTATGACTAATTTTCCCCATTTTGCTGTTAATACTTTGAATAAAAAGGTTGTCTTATGTCTCTGCTTATCCCACCATGCCTAGCATGGCACCTCATAGAGATGCAGAGAAAAACCATTGACTATTACATATGCATATCAAGAAACAATTGAGAATTTTTCATTATTGTATTACTCAATGTGGTGAAAAGAACTGGAACATTTAAATGGTTATTATTCTGTCAACTATCTGACCATCATTAGTGAACCAGTGGGAGAGGCACTTTTTAATCTGTGAAATGGAAGTTTATTTCAATTAGTTATAATTTGGTTAAGAAATCATATTTGAAAATATTTATACAATGTCTGAAATAGACACACCAATACAAACATACTCAACTTTTTCACTTTTCACTTTCAGCTTGGATTTTTTTAACATGTCAACCCACTTCAGTACTCCTGCTTAGAGAATCCCATGGATGGAGGAGCCTGGTAGGCTACAGTCCATAGGGTCGCTAAGAGTAGGACACGGCTGAGGGACTTCACTTTCACCTTTCACTTTCATGCATTGAAGAAGAAAATGGCAACCCACTCCAGTATTCTTGCCTGGAGAATCCCAGGGACAGAGGAGCCTGGTGGGCTGCCGTCTATGGGGTCACACAAAGTTGGACACTACTGAAGCACCTTAGCAGCAGCAAGCACTGATAAAACTTCTTGGAACTATAAGGTATTTATATATATATAGTATTAATATATTTAATGTTCACTTTTATGGTAACCTTACATTAAAATCTCATTGGCCAAAAGCAAGTTATAGCTGCTTTTAGTTGCTGGCTAAAGGCTGGCAGATCAGCACCATGGACAGAGGAAAATGGTGCAAAAGGTCACTCTAGGGCTACTTGTAAAGTAACAGCTGTGATAGCAGACGTACTACCAAGGAGAGACTTGTGTGAATGTTCCTCTGGGGATCATGGGAAGAGCATGACATTAGTGTTTGGGTCTTAAGAAAACAACCACTCTACCAAGATGGTTCTGAGTAGCATGATCTGCTTCATTTATTGACCCATATTGATTGACCCACTTTTCCAACAATTTGCTCTTCTGTTCCCAAGGTGTCAACATTTTCAATGCTGAAGTAAATACCTGACTAGAAAATATGAAGAACATTTGTTCCGTTCTACCTGTCCAGCATCAATGACCCTTTTTTCCTTTGAAAGCCACCTTTCAAACAAATAAGACATCTTTAAAAGATGACACTATGGAATTGTTGATAGTGTTGGAAAGTGTTTATGACGATACTGAAGTTATGTTTAAGGTGGAAGTCCCAGTCTTTTAGCAGTACATCCTGACAGTTACAGATGAAATAATATGATATCTGGGACTTGATTCAACATAATCCAGGATTAAGGGACTGGACTGAGGTATAGGGAAGACAAGACTGGCCATGAATTGCTGTTAAAGGCAGAGCGTGAGAACACAAGAGTTAATTCTCTCTACTGTTTTATATGGGCTTTCCTGGTGGCTCAGACAGTAAAGAATCTGCCTATAATGCAGGAGACCTGGGTCTGATCTCTGGGTCGGGAAGTTCCCCTGGAGAAGGAAATGGCAATCTACTCCAGTATTCTTGCCTGGAGAATTCCATGAACAGAGGAGCCTGGTGAGCTACAGTCCATGGGATCACAAAGAGTCGGACATGACTGACTAACATACACACACACTTCTATATGTTTGAGGTTTTCCATTAAACACATACATACAGGTGTGTATGCATGTGTCACTGAAAGACCACACACAAAAAATAAAAAGTGATTCCTGAAGAATGTATAACCCTGCTTCTAGAGTAACAAGCCTTAATACCCTCTGCTCCAAGAGTACCTTTAATAACTGTCCACTGCAGACTTCAAACTTTGAGCTATAACTCTCCACTGCTCCCTAATGAACCTGAGCTGCTTGTGACACTTGCTTCTCCTAAAAACACCAGATGGCTCAAGGAGCTTATAAAAGACCTTATTTCTTAGCTGACTCAGAATTGTGGGTGGCCACTTAAGTCTGAAGTAACCTTGGGCAGTTATATCACCTCACTGAGGAGTTAACGTCCTTAACTCTAAAACAGAGATAATCTTACCTGCCTTATAGGATTTCCATGAGGACTAAACTTTGCCTAGTCAGCTCTTACTCCTCCTTTGTTTCTCATCTTTAGCTTCACCTCTTTAAGAAACTTTCCCAGACCTCCTGACTAGGCCATTTCCCTCTAATACACACAGACTCTCAGCACTATGTTCCTCTCATTGGCAGTACCTGCCGCAGTTACAACTATCCATTGTGTAACGCCTGCCTCTCTCAATAGCAGCAGGGGATGCTGTTTTTTCTTACCACCTATCACCATGCCTGGGAAAAGAAAAAAAAAAAAAAAAACAAGGGGCTCAATAAAAATTATTTTAAAGAGACAAAGGAAATGAAGTAAAGGAAAGTAAGCTTTGTAGACAGCTGTGTAAAGACAACTTCTGGTATATACCTGATGCCCAGTAGAGTCTCACCTAATGTCTCTTGGCTGTTAGAATTTGCATGTCAAGCTTTAACTAAGACGTCCTCTGAGAAAGAAATGCCACTAAGTTCTATTTTCTAAAAGGCTATCTACCCAAGTCCCCACCCCCAGAACAGGGGTTTTTTTGTTTTGTTTTGTTGCTTTGCACGCTGAAGTATGCCAAATGCCTAAAACTGCCTGGCACCTAATCAGTAAAGGGACGGAGAGAGTGATGGATGGGTGGGCACTGTTCGGGGGTTTCACATAAGTTGGGTGACTGGACAACTCCTCCCGGCACCACCAGGAGGAAGCTGGAGCCCGGTGGAGGGACTCTGAGCCAGAGACGACATCCCCTCCGAAAATTGTGCACTCCTCACCCCCGGGCGACTTCCCCGGAGTCCGAGACAGTAAGAATCTCCCAGGCGAAGAGCAGACTCCCCAGCTGCCCTTCAGGCAACTGATGGGAACATTTACAGATGCGGTATTCACAGCTGCTCCCGCGAGGATCGTCCAGTGCGTACCATGTCCCTCCGCGAGGATCGTCCAGTGCGGTACCATGTCCCTCCGCGAGGGCCGTCCAGTGCGGTACCATGTCCCTCCGCGAGGGCCGTCCAGTGCGGTACCATGTCCCTCCGCGAGAGCTGCAGTCCCGCCGTCCGATCGCCTCACGCAGGAGTCCCGCCAGCACGCGACGCGGTTCAGCGCGTCACGGAACCCTCCGCCAAGCAAACGAGTTCTCACACCGCGCGACAGAAAGAACTTCGCACCGCCTCCTCAGCAGCGCTCCCACCTCACAGTCTCCCCGCCTCCCAGGTTCCCCGGCTGAGAGAGGACGCCCACTCCCCTTTCTCGTGCCGTTCGACCATCTCCAGCAAAGTGCCTGTGCCGTGTCCCTCCGCCCCGCGGACACCGCCCGTAAGCGCCGCCGCGCCCCTTCTCATTCCTAAAGTGTCTCAGCAGCGAGTCACTGCGCTGCGCTCTCTCGCGAGACTCCACCGCGCAGCCCCTTCCCCCAGCCCCTCGCTGACGAGGAAGCCTCTCCTGAACCCCGCGGCGCCGGGGCGCGAGCGGCGCATGCGTGGCCGCGGCTCCCAGCGCCCCCCGCGCAGTCCGGGAACAGAGCGGACGAGCCGCCAGCAAGGAACCCGTAACCGCTACCCTGCGAAGCGTCGTTTGGTCCCCGCAGCTCCTCTCCGTTAAGGGGCAGGGCCGCTTCGCGGCTTTCCTCAGCGTGCGGTAGTTTCCTGAGGACGGCCCAGGACACCTTGAGCCAGAAAAGCCAAGGGCTGGCCTCGGATAACGCCGGCCCCTACCAGCCGCCCGCAGCGGCCTGGGCGCGCCGCCTTGCCCCGAGCCTCGAACCCGGAGCCGGGAGGGGCTTGCACACCCGGCCCCACCCACTCGGGGCCGCGCCTCCCCGGGCCCCTGACACACCCCCTCTCGGCCCCGCTGTCCGCCCCTGCCCTCCTGTCCTCGGTCCCCTTGTTTTTCTGGTCCTCTAGCCTCGCTGTTTCAGACATTGCACTAAAAGATGAATCCTGAAAAACCACATCGCGGGGACATATATTGTGGCGAGAAGAGGCCGAGGTTTTGGACCTTAGAGTACAAGTTCACCTTTTCAAGGGCCTAGGATGGATTTGAGTAATCAGCCTAGGGTACCCTGTTCCTGCTGACACTGCCGTTTTCACCTCCCTTCCTTCCCATACTTCCAAAACCATTAGCAGGCGGCTCTCGGAGGTTTGACTTCTTTGAGTCTCCTTCGAATCAAATGTGAGGTTGACCTCCAGGTTAGAGCATGGCTACATCCCTGGACCCTCAGACCGACGCGCCCCTGGAGGTTGAAGGATGCCTCATAATGAAGGTGGAAAAGGAGCCCGAGTGGGTATCGGAGCCCATTCTCGAAGGATCGGAAAGCTCTGAGTCAGAGACCTTTCGCAGATGCTTCAGGCAATTCTGTTATGAGGATGTGACTGGACCCCATGAAGCTTTCAGTAAACTCTGGGAACTTTGCTGCCGGTGGCTGAAGCCAGAAATGCGTTCCAAGGAACAGATCCTGGAGCTGCTGGTGATTGAGCAGTTTCTCACCATTTTACCGGAGAAGATTCAGCTGTGGGCACAGAAGCAGTGTCCGGAAAGTGGAGAGGAGGCGGTGGCCCTGGTTATCCATTTGGAGAAAGAGACTGGAGGACTAAGACAGCAGGTGAGAGAGGCTTTTCCAAATTTTTATGTTTAGCAAGGAGAGGGTGGAAAGGAAAGTGGACAAGAGATGCATTGCAGAAAATGCAAATTGCAGAAGGATAAATAGTAATGAAAGACCATTAAGGGGATCTACCTCAAAGGGATCAGAATTTCATATTAAATAGGAAAAAAGCTTTGGTTGAACTATTATCTTGCAAATGACACTAAACATTATGCATCTGAGTATTTGTTTTAAATCTTTGCATTATGTTTCCCCCAAATTTTGAGAGAACAGTACATTATGCTTCACAGGATTTGACTTCTGCAGCTTGCTCCTAAAGAGGGCTGTTTTGATCCCTCTCAAAAAAAAAAAGAAGAAGGGAAATTCATCAGTTACCCCAGGGCCTCCTGTAATCCTTTAATGTCCCAGTCCAGTCTTCTGAAGTGCCCTCAATGTCATCATCCTTGTCACCCTTCTCCATTTTAATCGCTGATCCCTACTGTCAGTGACTTTGCATGCTTGTCTAATTGTTTTTCAACAGCCCTTTCCCTAACCTCATGAAATCCTGCAAGGTTTGCACTTTCACCTGGCAAGGGATTTGCATTTATGTAAAGACCTGTCTATTAGCAAGTTGCTCTGCTGGTCAGAAATAGACACTCAATGTCAAGATTAATTTTCTAAGTTTTCATTTCACTAGTGAATTAGTGTTCTGAGAACTTTCACTTCTCTGTGAACCTAACAGATGTGAGGACTCAGTATTCTGATAGCAGGGAGGCTCTGTATTTTACTCTTAACAGATTTTCCCTCTCTGTATATTCCCCCCTCTCCTGTTCCCTTCTGCCTAGACTTTTGGATAGCACTATGGACTGGTGTCCTCAGAGGTCCCATTGGGAATAGAATGAAATTTTCATTCCTTCTCATATCTTCTATCCTTCTTTGATATCTTTCATGGGGGAATTTGGCCCTGATCTGGCCCTCTTTTCCTCCCTTTTTCCATTATGGCATTGACTATTTCCCAGGTTAGCAGTCCTGTGCACTTGGAGAAGCAAATCCCCCTTGGAGCAGCCTGGGAGGTGGCAGACATTCAGCCAGAGCCCGTGGAGGCCCAACCCAGAGTGATGTCTCAGGAGGAAGCTGAAAGCCTCCACTCAGGATGCCAAGAGCAGCCAAACCAAAAGAGAAAGCTTCGACCCTTACCCAAAAATGGTAAGAAGAACGTACTGCATGCCCTGTGCAGTGACCATGGCAGATTTGTTTTGTAGCCCTAATATTCTCACTTGTTCACTGTAGGGCCCTCTCGATACATACTTGAAAATAAATTGAATATTTGGGGAGAAAGACTTCATTAGCTTCAAGAGTTGGGAATATGGGTGACAACTCTTTGTGACCCCATGGACTGTAGGCCACCAGGCTCCTCTGTCCATGGGGATTCTCTAGGCAAGAATACTGTAGTGGGTTGCCATGCCCTCATCCAGGGGATCTTCCCAACCCAGGGATCAAACCCAGGTCTCCCACATTTTAGGCAGATTCTTTACCAACTGAGTCACCAGGGAAGTCCAAGTAAAAGAGATCTTAAGATGAAATCTGAGAAAGTTTAAATTGTCCAGACTGGCCTTAAGGTCTCCTAATGTAATTTAAGAGTCTGCATTCTGCAATCAGCTTGTGGGTTTTAGTCCTGCATATATATGATTTCTTGGCTGGCTATAAACACCTTAAAAGATTGGAAGAAGAAATGAGATTTATTTTCAAAAGTGACTCACAGTAAGGTATCACAGAAGTGACATGTGAGAGGGATAAGACTTCGCAGACAAGGGACCACTGATGTTCATGTCTGCCCTGGACATAAATTAATCAAGTCAGCTACAAGGAAATGAAGAGCTGTCCTCCCCATCCCCTGTAGCGTAGTGTCAGGCTTAAAGAGAGGAGTGGAAAGATCACTGGACCTAGAGCACAGTGTAAAAAAGCATGGTTTTATATCCTTTCTCTGCCCTTCTCTCTTTGTGATCTGAGCAAGTAATATTAATTAACCTCTGTATTAATGCATAGAGATTAAGAGATTAGGCTTTAGAGGCAGACAATCTGGGTCCAAACCCTAACTCAGCCATTCTTTATCTGTGTGACCTTGGTCAAGTTGCTAAATTTCTTGAACTTTCCGTTCTGTCATCTCTAAAAGGAAGATAGTAAGATTTTAGCATAGATTAAAAGAAGCCTCATAAAAAAGTCAGTGCATAATAGTGCTCAATGAATGTTAGTTTCCTTTCTCCCACAATGGCATTGTTATTTTTAAACTTTAAAATCTATCTGATTTACACAATCCCTCATCAAGAGGCAAGATTCACCACTACGGACACCACCTCCTTATCTGTCCTGAAATACATATTATGGTAGAATGCTTTGCAAATATTAATGGTTTCTGGATTCTTCAGTGTTTGTTCATCAACATCAAAGTTCCTGTGTTCACATGGATTAGATGCTGTCAGTTACTTTACCTGCTAAATGTCTGGTATTTCTGGGTTTTGCTATTCCAGGGTGATAAGGAGTTCCTAAAGTGGGAAAGTTTGTTCTGTGGAGGTTCTTACTGGGGGTATGGAGGACAGGAAATTTGAGGGATAAGCATCTCAGAAAGGTGAATGCCTTCTAAACGATGACGTAGGATTTCAGCCAGGTGTGCCAAAGGGAATAATATGTTTCCAAGAAAGTGGTTCCATTTGGTTTCGTAGAAAGTAGTAAAGCAAGCTTCTGAGTTCTTGGTCACAATAACATTTATTTTTGAAGTTTTCCTAGATGGTGCTAGAGCAGAAGTTAAACTGCAGATTGTCTGATACTATATAAGTTTATTTATTTTCCTTCCACCTTTCTGGGAGTACGTTTGCCTGTAGTATTCAGTACTGTGTGTCTATATTTGTTAACTTTATAAGGATAATATTTACTCAGAGGGGATGAATTTATGCTAGAAATTGCAAACTGGTAACTCATGTGCCAAGTCAAACTTGTTTCTCAAAGAGTTTGGGGATGAAGGTCTTGTTTGTCTGTAGTTCTCAAGGTTTAAGACTTGCGATTGTACATAAAAATCCAGCTTTATGGCTTCTCTTGAAAAATATTAGAAGCTCTGGCTATGGCAGGGCCATAGTCTAAAAGGGAGGCATCACCCAGAACGGAACACTGGGCCTGTGCTCTCCAGTTCCCCACAGTCCTCACCTCCCCCCTTTCATGATGTACTTTATCTGCTTACTTCCTAAACGCATCTGCATTTGTGAGCCCTGCTCATGGTTTGGAGCATTGTTCTGAACTCATTGAGAAAAGGACCGCTTTTTGTTGGTTTTTTTATACATGCTCATCCATAAAAGGAGAAGCATAATGAGTAAAAGGTCCAGAGCCCATAGCACTAATAGTTTCTTTTCTTCTTACAGCTCGGCCTTCTCCCTGGGTTCCTTCTCCTGCTAATGAATGGAACACCATAGATCAGGAAGTAACAGCCACACGAGTTCCTGTCCGGTCCCAGGTAAATTGTAACAGTTCTGTCTGGCCTAACTTCCTAGGATGTTCAGTCACAATGATTTCTTCAAACCTCTATACTCACTCCAAGAGACTTTTCCCCCATTGCTCCTTTTCCAGAAAAGACTGCATGCAGCCTTCTGAGTAATCGGACTCCTTGCTGGATCCTCTCTCTTATGATTCTTTATAGAACTTTCACCTCATTTGGCACATAATGTATACTTGGCTCTTTGATTTCAGCTTTTATCTAGGGCTTTCCTGTCCTTCATCCGTGATCATTCATCCTTCAGAACCTATGTGGTTATCTTGGTAGTCATTACTCTTAGTGTGTTACAGGGACCAGTGAAAGATGTCCACATGGCAAGAGGTTTTTCCTGCAAAAGGAGTGTGCATCAGATTCCTGCTCACAAAGACCTCTACCGGGATATTAGAAAGGAGAGTGTTGGGAACATGGTCTCCCTGGGTAAGGATTCTATCCCTTTTCAAATAAAAGATTTTAGGATTTCTAGTGTATTCACTTCTACTG